AGTTTCTTAAGTCTGACAACAGCTTTCAGACTAGACTGCAAGACGCATGAAGCAGAAGGCTCTTGTTCTGGCAGGAAGGTTAAGGCGTGGTGGCAGAGAAACAAAATGCGAACTCCACAGATGGCAGGGACTCAGACGATGATGGACGTTTCTCCCTGGGAGGCAGATTACGAGCTGCTGGTCTGTGAGGGACTCTTCGGTGAATATCTGGAGATGGGTAACCAAAGCCTCTGTTTGCTCCAGAATCAAAGAGCCTCCATGACTGTGGGTTGTTTCTGAAATCTAGTGCTTCTCTTCTCAGTGCTTCAGTTTGGTTTCATCACCATCTTTGTGGCAGCGTGTCCTCTCGCTCCTCTCTTCGCTCTCATGAACAACTGGGTGGAAATCCGTTTGGACGCTCAGAAGTACGTGAAGGAATTTCGCCGCCCAGTGGTGGAGCGAGCTCAGGACATCGGCATCTGGTTTCACATCCTGCAGTTCATCTCACACATGGCCGTCATCAGCAACGTGAGTCTCCGGTCCTGATGAGGAGCAGCTTTCCTGAGAGATAGAAAATACTTTCCCAAAATCTGTTTCCAGGCTTTTCTCATTGCCTTCACCTCGTCCTTTGTGCCTCGGCTGTACTACCGTTACACCAGGGATAGCACCCTGCGCGGCTTCGTTAACTTCACCCTGGCAACAGCCCCACAGAGCTACATGCAGCAGCACCACAACATCTCTTGCAGGTAATGGCATGAGGTTCATGTTGAGAGAAAAACAATGGTCCATGACATTTACCTCATCCATCCATCCAACACTGTTTTCCTCCCAATGATTGCAGGTTTCAGTCTTGATGTCGGTTTTTATTGTCTTCTGCAGGTATCGAGGTATGAGGGACGAGAAAGGTGAATACCTGCCGGAGTTCTACGAACTCCTCGTTATACGACTTAGCTTTGTCATCATCTTTGAGGTCAGTGTTTCTCACAAGCTATACATTTCATGGACCTTCATTGTGAAGCTTTGAGCAGAGAGAGACATCCGTGAGATGTGAGTGAAAGAAGATGTTGCATGTCTGGGTTTGATGTTGTGTGTTTCACCATCTTTGTACCTCAGCATGTGGTCTTTTTCATCCACCGACTAATCGACTTGATAGTTCCTGACATCCCTGAAGACGTGGAGCTTAAGATGAAGAGGGAGCACTACATGGCTAAACAGGCGCTGGCTGAGAATAAGGTCCAACATTTATCATTTGAGCTTTATTTCCTTTAAGTTAGACTGTGTGTTTGGTAGGAGTATGTTTAGACACTGTTTGTTGTGTGCCTCCAGGCTTTGGGGAAAACCTCTATTCCAAATGATAAGGAAATCATGTCAGGTGACATGTATCGTCGTGGATCCAGAGCCGTAATTCTATTGAATGACCGCCGACCACCAAATCTGAAGAAGGTCCCAAAAAATTAGACCTGAAGCCCGACTGCATCAGAACTGAAGGCTATGAGACCGGTTCAAGTGGAGGTTTTAAAATCTCCAGATTGAGGTTTTCTTCATGGATCTTCTGGATGTTTACTGGATTAAATAAAATAATCCAGCTTTCCAACTTGTCATAGCACAGTGTGCCGGTGGAGAAGTTGTATCTTCTACCTTTACCTTCTGAAACCGGAATCAAAGACCTGTGAGATTTCTGAGTAACTCTCCTCAGAACCTTGAACTTCCTCAAACAGAGACTTGAAGTAGAATCACTGAAAATGAAAATGATCCAAGTCGCTGCTGTTAGAGAGAACTAATGCCTGTTCCTTAACTAGCTTTCGTTGAGTAATTAAGCAAATGTTTGTGATATTTTATAATATTTTGAAAATAATTTTGGAGATGCTTCTGTTATTGCATTAAAGTACTGATATTGACATTGTGTTTCTCATATTTTCTTCTCATTTTGCAGTTATAGGGTCATTGACCTATAAATAAAAATTCTAGAGTCAATGAAAGTCTTTGGATAGTGATCCTGTAGTCCAGCTGATGCTCTGGAAGTTGGTATATTACTGGACAGGACTTTGCATATTAGTAATGGCGCCTGAAGACGATCCTCAGGCGCCATTACTAGGCATTGAGTAATGTCCACAAAGCAATACTTCAATGCAGTATAAGTAGGATTCTGTCACAAAAATTGATGTAGCGCCTTAAATTCTTATCTGATTTCTATAAAATGTGGCTTAAATTAAAGCTGAGAACATTTCCAATTTTTTGATAAAAAATATATTTTCTACCTCTATATAAATCGATAAACAGTTTGGTTTATGTTAGTTCTGTCAAAATGCAAGAGAGGACTAAGCATATTTCTCTTTTGTATTGATCAACAAATTGTAGAAGTCATACTTGGGCTCCTATGCTTTATGAAATATTTCAACCAATTTATAATTGAATATTGTCACATTCTACAAATAAAGCTTGTTTTATTCAGGACATTTCAGTTCATGTGATTTACAATATGTCTGATAGGTTCATAACAACTTACACATAAAAGTAAAGATTTACTGAGCCCACCTGAAGGGTAAGGATCTACTACATCAGACAAGAACTGTGTGTGTTTGTAATTTAGTACTTCAGTAGTTTAGAAAGTATTGAATTCATTGTTTAATTTTATTATTTCATGTAATTTCATTTGTTTAATTCAATCCACATTAGTTCAGCGTCATTTACTGAATTGTAAGGACACTTACTATACTATTTTGGTTTGGTTTATTTGTTGTTTCCGGTCAGGCGCTGAGCGGGCAGCTGAACCCGCTCGGCTGTGACGTGTAGGACCTTCCTCTCCGACACAGCAGCAGCAATGGCGGACTATGATGATAGGGCCTATGGCAGCTTCGGCGGCGGCAGAGGGTGAGTCCACGTTCCGAAACCCTAACGTACAGCCGGACCGGACCAGCTTTTTCTGAATCCCGGTTCCAGACCCCAACCACACACGCTGACTGGACCGGTTCTGATAACTATCGGCTCGGAGCTCTTTGAGCCTTTGCGCTCTGTGAGCAGGCCGCGCTGGGGTGTGGGGAGGCCGGTGAGGGCGGCCGGGAAACACCGGGGATCCTGGAGCTAACCGCTTCAAAGAATGCAGTGATGTGGCGCATCTGTCACCGACCAGAACAGCATGGTTCTGATCGGTGTTTGTAACAATGATCGGGTTCCGGTGCCGGGCGGCACCAGAGGCGCGGCAGGTGGAGGCTGAGGTGGAGCCGGGTTGCTGCTGCAGGCTTGCCCGCATGGCTGCATCATGTGTCCGCAGAGGCATCCACAGGTCCCACAGTGAGCCCGAGGATCGATCGCTGCGATCAGATACCGACACCGGGCGGTTCTTGTGGTCCTGGTCGGTGAGGCTGCTGGTTTCTGACTGTTTCAATGGTTTTATCTGGAAACCAGTTGGTTTTCTAAAGCATGTCTGCATCTTTCATTGGACGGCTCGATGCGTCTGTAGGTTCCCATTCACTCAGATTATTCATTCAAATGCCCGGTTCAGTTACATTTTGAGTCCTGAAATAGATATTTTAATACAAAATAAACAAAAATGTACGTTTTTCAATATAAATAGGTGAATTTCACAGCCCCCCAAATCCTTTGATTTATTTGTATTGTTTCCCATTAGTGGCACTTTTACATAAGCACAAAGTTTGGAAGTTTGTGCCTACGTTTTTTATTACAGTTTGCTGGAATAAAGAATAGAAGTAGAGAAGTGCATCACTATTTAAATATGTGACATTTACAGGAAAATACCAGAAAATATTCTCATTCACCTACAAAACATGAACAATAAACGTATAAATCCTTAAATCTGCCAGTTATGGAAAACTCAGCAGGAAATGTAACCTGGCAACTGTCACTGGACAGTTGATCACATGATCAATACTAGATTTATCTGTGGTGATTGGTTAGATGGATTTGTGATGAAGATGTGATGCAAGAAGAGTTTTCAGGAGTGAAGTAACCTCAGGACATCGGATCATATTTTAAATCTTGCAGCTCTTTGGTTGGACGTGGATGCTGTGGGATCTCCAGCAGCAGTCAGTTTTGCTGTAAACCTGAATATGCCTCTGATTGACGACTACTAATTTGGTTTTGCCGCTCGTCTTTAAATCTCTGCCTGGCCGCATGGTTACAAACAGGCGGAGAGACGCCGGAGTGGGGGATACGATGAATGAAGGAGACAGTTTGAACTTCCTCCTTCGGTCTGCATCCATGAAGCCTCCTTTCCTTCTCTGGGATTTTGGGTCGTAGTTTGGGTATTGTTTCAGCTTTTGAGATGCCAGTCTGCTGCTCTGTTGTAAAAATACCTGGTTGCCATGGCTACACATCATAACAGCTGCCTTAAAGTTAAGAAGTTGGAGCAAAAGCATTTTGGAGGGAACCTTTGGGTCGGCCATGTTTGTCTTTAAACTGGTTTCATGCAGAAACCAGTGGAAACGCCTCCAGTGCTCTAAGCTCTACTGGTGACTAGAAGCTCAGAGTTTTGTGTCAGAACTTTATAATTATTATTATCTTTATAACCAAAGGACCAAACGCGTTCCACCTACAGTTTGTTTATAGTCCACAAATGAAATGGAACCAAAACTTTTGATTTTCGTAGGAGAACCAGACTGCAGCTCCAGAACAGATGGTTCATTTTAATATTTGTTCCTGTTTTTCCTCAAACAATATTTATTAATCTGTGAATGACTGTTGTTTCAGTGCATTATAATTATTATTTATATAATAAAAACTGCTGGGGATCCATGATATCTTCATCGCTCCGATGTATGAAACTGGTTAGCAACTGAAGTTTGTCTCCATCTTGCTGCTGTTTGTGTTTCTGGATGGTGGTATTTGTTTGGTCATGTGACACTGATGCAGCAAAGGATTATGGGATGTTTAACGGAAGTAGAAAAGCAAAGTGAGAGGTTCTGGTTGGTTTTCATGGTGACAAAAGGTTTGGGAAATACATATAAAACATTTAATATTCATCGACTGTTTATTACCCCAAATTTTCATATGAGTGAGTTCTTAAAATCTATGATGTGTCTAGATT